AAAACCTTGAACAGGACAGGGTGTTTCACATTTTGTAGAGTCAGCGTGGAGAGCACTGAAATTTTGATGCGAATTTTCTCCCCTCAAAAGGCAATATCTCTTCTATGGTGTGAGAACTTGAAAAAGGAAGACAGTTTTGAAAAGCGGAAGATTCGCGCTTTCTATTAACCCAATTGCGTTCTTTTGCAATCTCTTATTTGAGGAGATATTTGCGTCGAGAATCTGTCGAGGACGATTGGGTGTCCCCAACAGGCCCACCGCGCGGCGAAGCAAGAGACGCAGACGCGGCAAAGGGACGAGTCGCAGCGCATACTGTAGCGGTTAGGCGTCAGGTTAAATAGAGTGTACCATACTACGTCTCATATCGCACAGCACGCGCTGCAACTCGTCCTTTGCCGCATCTGCGTCTCTTGCTTCGCCGCGCGGTGGGCCTCTTGGGGGACACCCAACGATTTTTGATCACTCAAAAAGTCGCTTGCTTCTTACCGTTACAAGTTGATTCGTTGGCAACTCTTGGAAGAAAAATTTCTTTCAACGAATAGACTAGAATTTTTTCGGCGTCTTAGTGCAGGTAGAAGGGGGCGAGTGTAGCGCAGCAGAAAACGAGAATTGGAGACGAAGCATGACATAAAATAATAATAAGGACGTATTTGAAAGCAGTACAAAAACAAAGTGCATCTCCGCATAGAACGGGGATGATGCGCATGCGCATTGGGGCCTCCTCTATCTACCGCCCGCTCCTCTCCCTTAATACCTCGTTGAGAATGACACTGTTGTTAGGGACGCTGTCGCAAAAACGACAACCGTGAAGGAAAGGCCTGGGCAAATGAAGCTGTTCCTTAGGTTATAGGAGTTACGAAATGTGTTTACTACAATACAGCTTCTGTCAACTGGTCATGATCATATAACACCTTTCAATCGATTCTGCAACTTTGAGTGGAGGTCGGATGCATGGCCTATTTAGAGACGAAATTGGACGACGACGTCTGCCCCTCTTTTTCTCGCCTACGGTATAACAATATATTCTTTTCTGCGCATGTGGCTCCGTTCCATGCAAAGCTGCGCTTTTGTTTTTGTACTGCTTTCAGATACGTCCTTATTATTATTTTATATCATGTTTCCTTTCCAATTCTCGTTTTCTGCTGCGCTACACCCTCTCCCTCCTATCTGCACCATGATACCACTGACTCTGTTACTGACCCCCACGAGTACGACCCCCCATGACCCAGCCTGACAAATACGACCCCCCTGTCGAGGATTTCCTCGACCGATATTCACCCTTCTCCTCAGTTCTGGTGCAAGGAGATGGTTAGGCTGCTTTCATAGTTCGCATCGGTGCGGTCGGTGCCGTCGGTGCCGACGGCGCCGACCGCACCGACAGTGTGAAGAGCGTCAATACGCGCTCTGGCGCATGACGCGTACGTTGGGCGCAGATCGCGCGCTCCGATCGATAATCCTGGTTTTGGTGTATTTCTTGTCTTTTTCGATGTTTTTTTTGCGCCGTGTTGCTTTTATTCGTGTGTTTCTGCTTCATACTTATTCTTTTATGTCTCGTTTCATACTTTTCAGTTGTTCCGCGGACGAGCGACTTCGTAGAACCCCGTCGTACTACCCGGGTGAAAGTGGCTATACCGGGTGAGGGTGCTAACTTAGTTGGGGGGGGGGCACGCGGCGGCGCGGCAGTCTGCTCACCTGGGCTCTCTCGAGCGAGACAGTGTAAACTCGAACATTCCAGCTTTTCACGCATGTCAAGTGACTGCCCCCACCCCCACCCCCTAGACTGCCTACACTCCCCCTGGCCCACGGATTTCCGAACATGCCAGGCGAGCAGACTGCCGCGCCGCCGCGTGCCCCCCCCCAACTAAGTTAGCACCCGGGTGAGTTCATCATAAGCAATTTTGTTTATTCGAGTGGACTCTATAATTTTAGAAGTTGCTTTTTCTTCGATACGATTTCCTGCTGGTGTGCGAAAGGCCGCCGGATCTTGGTAATTTAATTATTTCGCACACCAGCAGGAAATCGTATCGAAGAGAAAGCAACTACTGGAAACATACAGTTCACTCGAATAAACAAAATTGCTCATGATGAACTCACCGGGTCTTGAAGCCACTTCACACGGGGTTGTACGACGTCGCGAAGTCGTCGTCCGCGGAACAACTGAAAAGTATTCATCAAGACATAAAAGAATAAGTATGAACAGAAAACACACGAATAAAAGGAAGACTGCGCAAAAAAATATCGAAAAAGACAAGAAGTACACCAAAAACAGAATTATACCTCATACCCACCACATTTATTCAAGATATCTGACAGGTTACTTGATTGTCGTGCCCAGTGGACGGGGTCGAGCGCGTGCAAGCGCGTGCATCGGTGATCTGTCCACGGGACCCGGCAAAACGTGGGATTCCAGTGGGTGCCCACAACACCTCTGGAAGGGAATGCGTGCGCGAGAATGCTCTGAATTCCGTGCCTGCTGCGGGCTCAATCACAGGGCCTTATTCCCTGACCCCAGCAAGTACGTCGTGTACTTGACGCGTGCGTAACCCTGATGGAGCTGGGCGAGAAATGCGGTATGCTGCGTGCCGTGTAGATGTAATTGACCGTTGACCGACAAGATGCTAAGCGAATAAGCGATAAGCGGATGTAAACCTGATTGCGAATGTAAAGCGAAGAATACTTACTGAACTTCATGTATATCAACACAGAATAGAACAGAATTACAATATGAAACCTGTAATAATC